CAATGCCTGGGCCCTCGGGATCGGCAGGAGGACAGGACAGCGTGGGTCCTCATGAACCGGGCGGTAAGTACGATCTAGCCGTTAGCCTAGCCTGCCCTCCACCAGGCCTGTGTCAGTGCCTGTGCTCCAGACGCAGCTCACATGTAAACCATTGTCCCCCTCAAAGTTACTGCCTTGTCATCAGCGGTTTGTCTGTCATCAGCGGCCTCTCTCCCTTACATGTCTTCTTGCAGTTTGCATTCCTTTAATTTTCTCCTCTTTTTTTTTTCATTTTTAATGATCATTAAATTTTTTGAACTTTCTCTTTTCCTTTTTTTAAGTTTTATACTGCCTTTTTCCTTTTTTCAGTTGTGTAGGTTCTATTCAATTTTTTTTTATTTCCTCACATTATTTGTGATTATTTTACTACACTTCATGCCATGCTTTATACATTTATATATATTTATATATATCTGTATGAACAGATTCTTAGATATGCCTATATGTTTTATATATGTAATATAATTTCTCTAAGTATTTAACTTATTTTCTATTTAATATCTATTGTTATTTTATTTGGTAATGACCACTTAATTTCACTACTCTTTTATCAAAATTTCACTTTTCATTTTTGAAATGGCATGAGCAAAAAAGGATGTTTTAGTTTTCATAAAAGGGACAAATTCCTTTTAAATACTTCTGAAGATATTTATTCTTTCCTTTTTTGTGACTGACACAATATTCAGTATGGCCAATCATCAGCCTCAGCATCTGTTTGTTTGTTTGTTTGTTCAGAAGTCTTAGCACTTGGCATAACAAACATGACCTTTTCTTTTCACTTCAATCATTTAATACAGGGAGCCTCATTTGTATAGCAATAAAGACTTGTCACAGTGTGGGTGCTCAGCCATGCTCAAGCCATTCTGAGAGAGAGAGAGCACACTCGGAGATGGGAAATTTAAGCAGACGTGTTGGTTAATTGAATCCCACCCAACAGCAACAAAAGATTAATGAAGTATTTGAAGCCTGTGGCATGTTTTGTTTTTCCCTGATATTAAGAGCAGCATTAGACTTTTGCTTGATATCTTCTGCTGCTTATTGGCAGGGCTTCATAGTCCAGTGACTCCAGAGCTTGAGCAAAACTAAAGATCAGTGTAAAGAAAGAAAGAGAAATAAAGCAAATATGCCATGCATTTTTAGGCTCTGACAAGTGGGTGAGGGTCATTTACCAATGTGTTCTGCTGGCAGCTGATCCCTGATTACAGTGATCAATAACTCCCCCCCAGTAAATGCTTCTGTGTGTTTGTATTGGGGGAATATGTATTATAGCTGGAGCCAAGTATACACACTTTTCTAGCTTCTCCATTGCTGCACCTCAGAGTCCTGTGTTTGCATATGTGCACATGGGCATATGTTGAAGGGATGCTTCGCTTGAGCCTAGATTTTACTAGCAGCCAGACAAGCAAAGTGTTCCTTTAATGATGGCCATGGCAGTATGCAGTCAGTCAAACAACTAATGTGCCTGTATTTACAAGGGGAGATCAGATGAGCAAAACACACACACACCATCATCAGTTTTATTTGCTGTCTTTCACTAATAAAAGAGTTGTGCACTTGCACATTCCCTCATCCTAAATTTGTTTGAGATCATTGTACTTTGTCCATCACCTATTTTTTTCTTTTCTTTATGTTGATGTAAATGTAGCTCAAGGCTTAAAAGCCATTGTTGACTTGTCTGTAACCACTCCCATGGTAATATGTATTGGCCTCAGTATTTAGGATAATGTGTACCCATGTACACTTCAACTTTTCCCAGAAGTTGCTATTAGATTTCAGCCACTAGAATAGACTCACATTTGCAAGTAGCTCCTGATTTAAAGATTGAAATAAAAACTATTCTGTAAATTTTATTTTTGTTCTCAGATTAATTACTCCTCTTTCAACTTCCTGGACCAGTGTACATATATATATATATATTTTAAATATTAATGTTACTGTAAGCAGCCATAGTAGATTTTAGGAGAAGAGAAGAGTACTAACATTTTCTCTCAGTATTGCCATTTTACTTTTCTGTCACATCATTGGTCTTGAAATAGTAATAACTCCTAAAGTTAAAATTGATTGAATATTTTCTCAGTTGGTTCAGTGAATAATAAATTTCATGATTTTCTGGTTACTTGAATGTCAGAATCAAAAGCAAATTATTTACAAGAATGTAGATATCTAAAGTTATTTTTGCAGGTGCTATAGTACTCCTGTAGGTGGGTGTTAGCTGTGAGTATTGACTGCAACACACATAGGTATTATTGCTGTAAACAAGTGTGCACAAAGTGCATTTAGGTCATTACACTTTAATGAGAATATATTTCCAGATTATTGAATAGTTATGATGATGATGAATATGAGGATGAAAATAACCAGCCTAAAAATGGTGCTGTTTTCTGGATTCAGATTTCCATTGCATTGCCACTCCTAAGATGAGTGGTATAGTTTTGGTTTTGTCAGGAATGCTATTGTTTAGTTAGAAGTGCTTTTTTCAGAAGTTCTGTTGTATGTCAGGCATCAAGGCAAGATAGATCTTAAGAGAAATTTAGGCAGCTATATCATTAATAGTAGGACTACCTTAATTGTGTGCATACATATACGATTAAGAAGAAAGTATTTTGCTAGATTTTACTTTGGTTCATATGAGGCTCTTACTGTCACCATGATGTAGTGGTTTATTATTATTATTGTTGTTATCATTAAAATAATGGTTATTGTTTTTATTATTATTATTATTATCATTATCATTATCATTATCATTATTATGATTATTATTACTATCACCCATCATCATCATTACTATTACTTTTATCATCAATTTACACATCTTGAGAAGTAGTCTCTGATTGGCATTTGTGTTAAATTCAGGGGTGTGCATAGTGCAGTTGTTCATGATTTAGGGCAGCTTTGTGGAGAACATTGCTCAACATGGCATACATCCCGGCTGTGCTGGAGTGTGCCATTGATGTGTAATTCACTACTGAGCTGTGAGGCATATGCTAAGTGCAGGCACCCTTATGACCCTTTTTTTTATTCTTGTTTTGAGATTGTTAACAGCTGTCAGCTTTATGGCTGAAATGTAATTCACATGAAAGTTTGCCAAAGAAAAAGTAATTTTAGTTAATGGCTGTTAAACTGATAAGTGCTGTGGAGGGCAGTGCCTGTTGTTCTGCATGATGTGATATTTTTGTCTTTGATTAAGAAGAAAACATCAGTTTCCTTCATGTTGATTTATTTTTTTATATATATTTATTTAAACTGATGGTTTCCTATTAGTACCCCTTGTTTGTTTGATTCTAGTAGACTATGGATTACAGGTCTAATAGTGTGTTGTTGAGGGTTTGACCTGTGGTCCAGAGTCTCGTGCATGCTCCTCTCTGTACTGTAGTCCAGGGCCTAAGTTTAGTTGGTGAGTGTAGGGCAATAGGGACCGTTTTTGGCCATCTAGGGAGCCTATGGCCACGTGGCCAAATGACCGCCCACTGATTGTAGCCATCAGCGTGAAGAGGACTATTGGCTTAGCTTGGACCGTGGCTTTGCTGTGGCCCTTGTGCTGTGGCCCCCGCGGCCGCCCGCTGCTGCTTGTTTGGGTGGCCAGGTGTTGAGGGACCCTGTAAGGCCCTTTGTGGCCAAGGGTGGCTTAGGATGGCCCAGGGTCACTGCTCAACCAGCCTCAAGTGTACTACTCTCACTCAGGAGCTGTCGGTGTTTGGCAACCACGCTGGGAACGTGATCATAATGCTCTTGTCATTTTGAAATGATTGATGATAAATAGACGGGCGGTGTTGGTGATGATGCCTGAGCCTGGACTGACTCATACTCACGTGGATCCTCTCCTCTGCAGCAGCGCCGGGCGGTGCTGTCTGTGAGGCTCTCAACCTGTCGCTGCGGCCGCCTCTACCCCAGGCCAACGGAACGCTGCATCCCCCGCTGCTCCACCACCACCACCACCATCAACCTCCACACCACCACCAACACCACCAACAGCTTCATCATCACCACCAGCAGCAGCAACCACCACCACCACCACAACAGCAGCCACCCCCAACTGCTGTTTCAGCTACGCCCATCAACCCTGCTGCCACAACTGATGCCTCTGAGACGTTTGAGGTGAAGTTTCACCCAGCAGTAGCAGTAGCGGCAGCTGCAGCTGCAGCCTCAGGACTAGTGTACCCTGAAGTTGCCCTAGACCTGGCGTCTGATAAGGTGGCGGGGCTAGTAACTTCTGGAGAGGCAGGGGAGGACCGCGGGATGCTAGAGGCATCACCAGAGTACAAGGCCAAGTTGTACCCATGTCCAGAGTGCCACAAAGTATTCCGCCACCCCATGTCTCTTCACCACCACCGCCATGTGCACAAGGGTACCTACACTTGTCACTCCTGTGGCAAGGTTTTTTCCCGACGCTGGGATCTCCACCGTCACCTGCACCGCTCCAAGATGGGCTGCCGCCGCCCAAACCATGTGACTACAGCTGCTGCGGTGGTGACCACAGCCCCTGGGACTGTCACCACCACCACTGCTGCTGCTGCTGCTGCTGCTGTAGCTGCGCACCGAGCCGAGTTCACTCTCGATCTGAACAACCCCCCTTCCAACTGACTGTGATATCACTAGGCGATACTAGAGCATAGAGACGTAAATATTGTAGAGACTTGTATTTGTTGTGTTGTTGCGACCAGTGCCACCATGTTGGCACTGCCTCTGTGATCACCAGCCAAAGATGGAGTGCAGGCGCCCCTGTCATACATATTATGCCGACACCACCGCGCCACGTCCGAGATTATGCCCACATTATTATACCCTTCTCAAGGACACACACACTCCGTTTTGGTCTGTTTGAGTTAAATTTAAGAGCAATGGAAAAAAAATTCCCTCCTTGCATCATTGCTTGGTTTTTAGTCAGTTGATTTTAGTCATATAGACTGCCTGTATGTGATAATACCCCAGTGATGCTTATTAATTCTTCACGTTTTGGTTCT